GAGTTAATATTTTATTAAAGCATTACTTCCTCGTATTTGCTGTTTTTTCCCATTTATGAACTCCGAAGTTACAGTCACCACTTCGGTTACTTCACCAGTATCTGATGCCGTATTTTTAGATGAGGGTGACCCGTCCGGGGATATATTGTCACTCACTCACCAGGAGATTGAGCAGTATATGAACCAAACTCTCTCTCTCTCTCCTACTTCTGTCGCACTTCCTCCTGAGCCTTTTGATCCGGGCCAGACTGAAGGCGATTTTGATTGTTTGTTATCCCTCATGGAGTTTGCTGCGCTTTCCTGTTCGCTACCTGATGATTCAGCTCATTTGTACTCTGTCTTTTCAGACTTTATCTCTCAGGTATGTGATATTTTGTCTCTTACATCTGTTTCCTATGGCCCTAGGCCTTCACTTACATGAATCAACTTCCAGACCCTATTTAGTTTTTCCCCTGGTATTAGGGTTCACATAGACCAATTTGCCTCTCAACTAGGGGAGGGTGTTAGTATGCCTTGTTCCCCCAAGGACTTTGGATCAGTCCGCTCTTGATTATCATCGGGCAGACTTTCCATTTCTCGACCAACAGTTGTTGGGGTTGGTTCTACCTGTTTGGGGGGCAAACTTACCCAAGCCCAATTTTCTCGCCTTCATCTTACCCTCACAACCCTGTTAAGGTACCTTTTTTTCCCTTCACCTTCTGTCAGAGGCTCTTTACAGGAACCCTGAGGGGTTTTCTGCTGAAATCCTCTCTATCCTTACTTCTACATTGACTCATCTGTCATCTTCAGATCTCGTGCTTCAAATGTGGATTGTTTGTTGTTGGGATCTTTTGGATTGTGATGCAGTTTTGGCATGGACCTATCTCTAGGCTCCTTATCTGAGGGACCTCTGCATGATGCTGTTCTTACCGTGTTATATATTTGACTCAGTTCCTGAGTCTTTGGAGTTGCGGGTGGCCTCGGCTCATCAACATTCTACCCTTACTAACTTGGTAGCTCATTTGTTGCAGTCATTGTCGAGTGCGGCACCAATTCCTGTCCCCCAACCGTCCCCTTCCCAACCACTTCTTGTCCCACCCACCTGGTGTCCTGTCATCAATTTATCCCATTTCAATCCATATGTTCACACTCATTGCTTTACGATAGAGACATACCTTTCTCTTCAGTGGGCATTTTTTTGTGGTCTTTGGATGACCAAGGTGGACATTTCCAATGCTTATCTACACATTCCTGTGGTGACGTTTCATGCCTTACCCTTTCGGCCTAGCCTCAGCACCATACGTGATTTCTTCAACACCCATTTCAGTCTGGCCCAACCTTCTCCAGCTCCAGTCTAAAGAATGGGCCATTCGGAAAGCCCCGTGTGTTTTCTCACTTACAGCTCGCAATGTCGTATCGCTTTAGAGATGTGGTCCTTCATGCCCTCACTTTTCCAATATTGAACCTCTGTCTGTGTGTTCCCTGTTCTCTTTGAAGGCATATTTTTTCCTCCTTCTGGCCTGCAGACATCGTAGGTCGAATATTTATGCAATCGACATTACTAGGACCTTGTACCACTCCTCCTACCTTATCCTTTATTCGGATTGTGCTTTCCTTTCTAAGACCTCTGCGGCTCGAGAAGGTCAGTTTTCCTTTTCCATTATCTGCCTATCCTCTATATCTCATCTCTACCCTCGTCGTGATCTGGATAGACTCCTCTGTCCTGTCTGTGCCCTTGTTATATTGCTTGCACATCTTCTTTCTTGGGTCCACGTTCCCACCTTTTTATCCCTAGGCAAACTTCCTCTTCCTGTGATTATTTCCCCAATTACCCTGACCAATTGGGCTTAATGTTTGATCCAGTTGGCCTATTCCTCCTTGTCCCATTCCCCATGAATGGCATGGTTAAAGCAGAAGGGTTCTGCTGCTCATCCCTGCCATGCCTAGATTGAATAAATCGGTGTGGTCTGCCTTTCAAAATAGGGTTTCATGATCATTCATTGCACTGTCTTGGGTGTTGCAGTCCCTCCAGACTCTCCAATTCACTATTTCTCTCCTTTCTTCCAGTAGAGTATGGGAGTTCTTATCAGTTCCAAGCCACTGGGGTGGTTGACCACAGAGGCAACCTGCTGGGTGTGTTCCAAAAAGATAGCTATAACCATTCAGTTCAGACTAGAGCAGTGGTGTTCTGCCAGTGTAAAGGGAATTACTAGATCCTCTGGATGAGTAACTAATTCCTGGAGTTGAGATGCCCAAATTCAATTCACCCCTCAGATTGAGAGCCCTCCTCCTATCTTCACGTGGGTGTTGATACCCAGCAAATGAGGTTTTGGAGATCGAGTGAAATAATCACATAAGTCCTCACACAGGTTTTTGGTTGTCTATCTTCCCCTCTAAACTTGTCTTCTGTGTTGTGCCTGCTTCTGTCCTGGATTTTTCCCTTGTTGGGTGACAAGGTTGTTACTGACCTGAGGTTATTTTGGGCTGGTTTCACAGTCGTGAGGGTTGAGTGCATGCGATGGACTTCCCTTGGATTCTGGATGACACATTCCCGGATCCCTGGCATTAGGAGTCGATTGTTAGGTTCCCTATTGACTCTGGGACTTAAGATGAAGATGGTATGATTTTCATCCTACCCTCGCAAGGATGTCAGTACCCAGTGAGGGAGGTTTTAGATGTAGATGACTTACCAAGTATGGTCCGTCACACCCTTAGCCACTATACACCGTGGGACATATCCTTGCTTGCTCACTTTCCATCATGGGATTGAGTGGTTCTGACTTCTGTTTAAGATCACATTGCTAAGTTATTCTCTCCCACGCAGATGTGCTCACTTTAATGTTCTGCCATGTCTGGTCTTCCTGATCATGCCGATGTTCCTGGTGAAGAGATACCTGGCTCAGATGTGGTGCAGTGCCCCTCCTCAGATCATCTGATCTGTTCC